AAAAGAGGTTTTTATCGATATCACTAAAATCCACTCTACAATTCTTTAACGGAGATCATACTTCTTCAGACCTCGTTAATTGGCGCTTCAGAATGACAAAGAACTGTACCAAATAACAGAAACCACATCACTTGAGAACTTCCAACGGCAGCAACAACTAAAATGGATAGCACATATAATTTGAAGAGAAAATAATGATATAAATAAATATGGAAAGAGTGACACTGAAATCCGACGGCGCATTGGCTAGAGAAAAATGTCTTTCAAATGTTAAGCAAAGTATTAAGAAACAGAAAATTTAGTTAGAAATGAAGAAATGTGTACCGAACAGCTATGTAATATCAGTCCTTCGATATGGTATCTTAATCTAGCTAATATCTTGCTATTTACTCTGTTTCCCCACTAGGACGAGTTGTGACACAAGGTCAGTTTTTAAGGTAGGGACCCGAGCGCATACACCCGGGCTAAGAACAAAAATTGCCCGCAGCCCACGCAATCGTCGGTTGCGCTGGCCTCGGTGTGAGCACCAATCCCTCTCTCTGGTGCAATGAGAGGGTGCGGCCTCGGGCAGCTGTTCCCCAGAGCTGGGCACCTCTCAGTATAATTTTCTTTAGTTGCAACTCCGTCCTTTGACAGAGCTTCACCTGAGTGCACTCTGCCCAAAGACAGAGACGCAACTGAGAAATGATAAATAGAGTGTTACAAACTACTCGAAAGAGCGGTTTACTATCTAGCTAATATTTAATAGTTAATAATAATAGTTTATTATCTAGCTAATATCTTACCATTATGTGGGCAGTATTTCTAGGAGAGTAAATGTGAAATATAGTGCCGTAAGTGTATTATATGTACTGCAGCCATAGCCGCAGTGGTTTGTATTAGGCAAGAGAGTCTGACGGAACCCATCCCTCTTCAGGTTGGTTTTTCAATTCAGAATTTTCCCTCTCTGAGACTGGTTACCACCTCAAGGCAAAGAGCCCAAACGGCTATTTAACTCATAGCTCAGCGTAGCTTGGAGCGGATGTGAAGAGATGTATTCATACCAATCCCAAAGGTATCTGTGCGAAATTCGAACTCAGTGAGCTGATTTCTCTACCCCCCACACACACACACCACGTGTCGCTAACTACGAATTAGACATATCAGCACCAAACAATTTCAGAAGTTTATATATCTGGGAAAGGTTTTAACCGAGGATGGAAAATGCAAAATCGAAATCTAGTTGAGCACTTGATTAGGGACAGATTTATCCCAAGACCTAAAGGAAATATTAAGAAACAGGAAAATTTCGTTATAAACAAAAAATACTGAACTGCTATGTAATAATAGTTCTCCTATATGGCAGTGAATTTTTCAACAGTCTCCTCACAGATGAAGAGAAAACTGGAGACAACAGAAATGTCATTCTACAGAAGGATACTGAGAGTGTCAGGGACAGAGCGCGTAAGCAACAAGGAAGTGTTAACAAAAATGAAAACTGTTGTGGCCTTGTTAGGGCCAGAAATAAAGACACAAGTGAGGAACTTAGTTAAACAAATATATTATGAACAGTAATATAAACATATACAAACGAGAGTGTTACAGCAAGAATGTTCGGTCCTACTGTCAGAGCTGACTGCTGGAAACTTCACTCTCCAAAAGGCAGTACCTGCTCCTATTTATAACTGGGAGAATCCATGTGTGCGTAGGTAAATTACCATAACAATATTATTAACATTTGAACTAATATCCTCATCTTAAGGAAAATGGAATCAAAAAGGACAGAATCAGAAGGAAACAACTGAAATTTCTTGGACGTAATGAAGAAGTAGTATCTGAAGAATTTGATCCTGACAGGGCGTATCAGGAGCAAGAGAAACCGGAGAAAGCAGCCGGTAAGCTACTTGAAGCTTGTGTAAATGTATTGCGGAACAAGACAGCAGGAATTTGGGCAAAGTGACCAAGGTTGCTCAGAACTGTAAGGAATAGGACGTTGACCATCCACATCCTGAAGGGATAAGCCTTGTACAAAAAGAAGAAAAATCGTTGCACTATCCGCAAATCGATGTTTTTCAAGACAAATAGTCAAATAACTACATTCATGGTAATCGTTTGGATTAACGGGACTTTATAAATTTAAGCGCGCAGTACTAGACTGGAAACAAGGTCTCATCATTTTACAGTTGAATTCTTCTCTCTTCTTGTCCTTGTAACGGCATTCACCCGGGGTGGGTTGAGCCGGCTCCAATATTGGAGTTTCATGGGAATTTGGAATTCACAAGCGGTCCCCAGCCCACATGTATAGCACATAAGATTTGATTATAGTAGTGAAGGTTTCGTGCAGGACCATCCACACTTTTTGAAGGGCCGATTACAGAGACCTGGTGCACAACGTGCCACAAGGTCTCCAAGCGAACCTCCGCAGGTTTTGAATTCAGAGTTAACAAATTCAGTTGCCACCCAAAGCTATAGAAACCAGTCATAGCTGGAGGGAGAAGAAGAGGATTCACACCTTTCCCAA